AAAAAAAAAAAGAAAAAAAATCTCATTCAGGGCGCCATCGCCTGTGACATAGTTAGCACATGACATCATGCCTGTCGCGATTGATGAACTGTTATTAGAACACGGCCCACAAACAAGGCTTGTGGAGCGCGAGGTTTATTTAACTTGACCCTGATGTGTGTGTTGTTATCACAAACGTTTGCAGTCGCGCAGCAGCACACATGGATGATTATGTATAAAACCAGCCACAATATTAGGCACATCAATGACCCTCTGGTTCCAAAACCAAAGGCCTTACAGATAACCTACCCCAAAAGTTGTTCCTACACTGGGAGTCGAACCACCAGGGTCAATCCGGGAATCCAACTCTAGTTTTAATTTTCAAAGAATCTTTATTATTGTGGATGTATGCAGTTGTGATAGCAAATGATCACCTTATCTACATGGGTAATTATTTATTTATTTAATAAATTACATTCTCGCTCCAATACTTGAATAGTTCGTGCAGATGTGCAGAGCTCAGGACTGACTATTTTGATGTCAAGCCTGACATCTAGTGTTTTTCGATGAGAAGGTTTTTGTTGAACCAGTGCTGGCAGTGCACAGCCTGGAGGGGAAATTTAGGAACAGCGACTGAAAAATCACACCATTTGATAGTTAGCCAAACACAAACATCTAAAAGGGAATGATACACTGTCCTTATATAATAAGATTTTTTGCGGGGAAATTGATCCCCCATACATTGTACTTCAATCCATATCTGATTTAAAAAAAAAAAAAAGATGACTGTACTACTTTGCGTTTGTCCAGGAAACCCTTCTAAAACATCCAACTCATCAATCAGCTCATCCAGTGAAGGATCAAAAGATAGCGTATCAGGTTTAACGTATCCGGATAGAATGTGAAAAGGGGTCATTAATCCGCCAATAATGGACTATAACAATGAATTATTTTGACATTTTTAAAGTTCTCCCCCAATTTTACTTGTTGAAATGGTGTTTCTTCATCTTTAGACCTTTCGGTTGTATCTGCTTTATCCTCGCCCCTGTTACCAAAACAAGCTGAGGACTTCACATGAGGGGCAATTCATCCACATAAATACATAACAGAGATAAACATAAGAGAAGATTTATGGTTAAACACAGTCTGTTCTGTTTCATGGTGCTAGTTAACTTCCAAATAAAGTAAAGTAAAACTACGACTATATAATACGACTCAAATGAAGTACAATTAATCAACCTTTGAAGACAAATAACAGAGGAGTTGCGGAGAAGGAACAGGAAGGTACTACTTTATCTACTATTGATGTACAATGTGTGCGGAAAAAAAATTTAAACACATTTCCACAGCCGTAGAAAGAAAGTGCTGGTCTGGAGGATTAGGTGGCTCGAATGATGCTGTGATTTGGACTGAGTGATGTGTATTGAAATCTTTCAAGCAAAGGAGATGCTTGATTACTTTTCAGTGATGAGACACATCTGTGCGTTTGCTCCACATACACCTGCAGGTCAGTCTGCATTCTTCTGGGGCATGACGCAACTAACCATCTGGGGACACTTATAAAATTGAATCAGATCGAAATAGGGATGAACTTTTAGAGGTCGGGAATGTTATTTTACTCACTTTCTGTAGGTGTTGAACTAAAAAAAAAATGATAGAAAAGAAAGTTGGCAAATCAGCCATCTATGTTTTACATTGTAAGGTAATAACACGTTCAGTCATCCGTCACGGCAGGGGGAGAGCCTATCTCAGATGACTTTGGATGAGAGGTGGACGGGATACACCATGAACACGTACACCTAGGGACAATTTAGAGTGTTCCATTAACCTACCACACGTTTTTGGAATGTGGGAGGAAACCGGAGTACCCGGAGAAAACCCGCGCAGGCACGGGGAGAACATGCAAACTCCACACAAGAAGGCCAGAGACAGAATCGAACCCTGCACCTCTGCACTGTGAGGCTGACGCGCTAACCAGTCGACCACCGGGCCGCCCGGTCAATTACGTTTCAAATAAAAAGCATCTTACCCGACACACAGATAACAGCAAGCTGTTGTGGTTTTCCTAGTCTGTCACATCCACGTTTAATCCAAAAGCCTCCTGGTCTCTGGCATGCAAAAAGCGCTTCTGTAAAAAGGCTTTGCTCTCCAGGTTGTAAAAGACATTCATCTGGAAGAATTTATGCGACATTTAAGACACCATTTATTAGATTTTATGACGCAACGCTTTCATGTATTGGCTGACATCGGTGCCAACGATTATACAGGACACAAACGCACCGCAAAAACTACCGGAATTTAACGTTTCGGAAAAGTTGCTGCATTGCAGTCACGGATGTAAAATTCAGCATAATGAATTGCAGAGAGTAAAACAGGTGGAAGAGCTGTGAGATAGAGCGGTATTGCTTCTAAATTGGACAGGATGAAAAGATTAGCCTTTAACCAAAGACTTTGGAGTGTAATCACGTGGAGACACAAAACTCTAAAGTTCACTATGCGTTCCAGATGTTAATCGGCGGGAGGCCATCATGCTGCATTTGCGTTTAGCTGTTTTATTTTTTTTGTTTTGTTTTGGCATTAACAATGCAATACATTGTCTCATGCACAGCTGCAATTTTCAGGAGACTCTGGTCATGCTCTGTCAATGAAACGATAATTTATAGGGAAGTCAATATGTTGAAAACATTCCTGTAATCAGAGGGGAACTGTTTTTTGGGGGCGGGGGGTGTGGCAGGATTCATTTATAGCTGCTAATTGTGATCACTTATAAAACAAATTTTTGCAAGCAAACATTGCAAGTACAAAGTGAAGCAATACATGATTGCACCTGAAATATGGAAAATTCCATTGAATTTGGAATTGTAGCACAGCCAATAGCAACTTTCCTTGATGAGGAGTCGAAAACACGTCTCAAAAGTAACACAATTCAGAGGTCAGTCAAAATCTTCAGGAAAAAATATACCGTAATTTCCGGACTCTTGAGCGCACCTGACTATAAGCCGCACCCACAACATTTTTAAAGGAAAATTCATTTTGTACACACACAAGCCACAGCCCCATATTGTAACATGAGATATTTGCAACGAAAGACGGTACACAGAAAGAGGTTTCAATGTGTAATAACATACCTTAACTTTTCTTTGCCTGTAACGTGGCAGCACCACGGCGGTAAAACAGCACTCACACGGCTGGTTTAAAAAAAAAAAAAGGCACCGTTCCCTACCGAGTAATGCTTTGTTTTAAAATGAAAAAAATCCTCACCTGCCGTAACACTCGGTCAACCATTCCTTCATTAGGCTTTCTGCCATCCACGGTTTCGTGTCAACTTTCATGACAATGTCTTTCGGGAGGTTTTCATTTGGCATATGTAACCAGATGAACAATACTATGGCTGTTGTCACTTTAAAAGGAGCGTTGGATGATCTCTAAAGTAAAACCTCTCCTTTCTCATGAGCACTTTGAAACAGTAATACATGCCTTCGTCACAACCTGTTTACTGTAATGCACTTTACTTTGGAGTCAACTAATCCTCCATTAAGCGTCTCCAGTTGGTCCAGAAAGCTGCTGCTCACCTCTCGACTGGTACTCATAAGAGGGAGCACATAACTTCTACTCTGGCATCCCTTCACTGGCTCCCTACACATTTTAGAGTTCTTTTTAAGATCCTATTATTTGTATTCAAATCTTTAAATGGTTTCGTAGGTGGCCCGGTAGTCGAGTGGTTAGCACGTCGACTTCACAGTGCAGAGGTACCGGGTTCAATTCCAGCTCCGGCTTTTCTGTGTGGGGTTTGCATGTTCTCCCGGTGCTTGTGTGGGTTTTCTCCGGGTCCTCCGGTTTCCTCCCACATTCCAAAAACATGAGTGGCAGGCTGATTGAACACTCCAAATTGTCCATATGTGTGAATGTGAGTGCGAATGGTTGTTCGTTTCTGTGTACCCTGCGATTGGCTGGCAACCGGTTTGGGATGTCCCCCGACTACTGCCCGAAGACGGCTGGGACAGGCTCCAGCACCCCCCGCAACCCTAGTGAGGATAAAGCGGTTCGGAAAATGAATGAATGAATGAATAAATGATTTCGCTCTACCTTACATCTCTGAGGTCCTCCGCCCCTACACACCTACTCGGTGCCTCAGGTCTGCGGACCAGACACTATTAGAGGTACCAAGAACTAAGTGGAGGCTCAGAGGGGATCAGGCCTTTACCGTTGCTGGTCCTTCTCTTTGGAATGACCTCCCACTGAACATTCGGCAAGCCCCCTCGCTGCCCATCTTTCAAACTCGTCTCCAAACTCATTTTTATTCAGTGGCTTTTGACTCAGCGGGAGACTTGATTTTTAGTTTTACCGTTTTTGTACTATCTCCTGTTTTCAGTAATTATTGTTTTATTGTTTGTTGTTGCATATATGACTTTGGCTCCATGTACAGCACTTTGTATACAGCGGTGGTTGTTTAAAAGTGCTCTATAAATACAGTTAGTTGATTTGATAAAATGAATTGCTTCAGATGATGTCGAGCGCACCAAAAGCATTCGGAGCAGCAGTTAATAGAGGGACACATGAACACTAACGTGTACTATAACATTCGGCAGCAGAGCATGATCACCTCACTTTTGAATGTGGCCGCAGGGCAGTGTTCCAACATTAACAACCCCAAACACACCTTCAAGGTGATGCCTTGCTACCGAAACAGAAGGGAAAAAAGGTGATGAACTGGTCTCTCCACCTAAATTGTACTAAACATCCTCCATCTATCAAGCATCCTCAGATGGAAAGTGGAGGACAAAAGGTCTCTCTAACATCCACCAGTTCTGTGATGTTGTCATAGATGAGTGCATGAGGATTCCATTGGTAACCTGTGACTCTCTGGTGAACTCCATCCCCCAGAGAGTGAATGCAGTGCTGGAAAAATAATGGTCGCCATAAAAAAATAATGAGACACTGAGCACAATTCTGACATTTCCACCAAGGGATCTACTCACTTTTGTTGCCAATGGCTGATATTCATCGCTGTGTGTTGATTTTTTTTTTTTTTAGGCCACAGTAAATTTACACTGATATACAATCTGAACACTGACTACTTTGCTTTATGGGAAAGTGTTTTTTTTTTTTTCAGTGTTGTCCCATCCATCCATCAATCCTTATCCTCACGAGGCTCACTGGTGTGCTGGAGCCTCTCACAGCTGATTCCGGGCAGAATGTCAAAGTTATTTTGTAAGTCACAAGTAAACAGTGAATCTCTTGTTGTGCCAGGCAAGGGAAATTGTTGTGTCGTTGTAGTTAATTTTGTTTGTATTCCAAAATTGTATTGCATGTAAAATCAGCCAACACAAAAGAAGCATGGGGAGTTGAAACTTGGCTGTAGTTACTTCAATTTACCACAGGGTGGTAGTAGAGACCATAATAATCCATCATCAAGCCAGGGCTCTGTTCATACTACTGTACCGAAGAAGCGGAATTGTTTTATGGAACAGGAGCCTATTTAGTGCTTCCTCTGCCTTGACTTGGAAGTGGAGGAAACCCTGTTGTGCATTATCTTTCCAAATCTTAGATAAATCACAACGTCCGGCTTCAACATTTAGTTCATGTCAACATTTTATTCTTTGGTATTAACACTAGTTACATATTAACATTTTACAAGGAGGTTTGTCAAATATTTGGCATGTACATATAACGAGTACAAAGTCCACTTTCAAGAAGTCTCAGAAAGGCATTTGTCTAAGTATTAGTGTGACGGATGTGCAATCCTGTGCTGCCTTGTATATTATATATATTTGCCCCCCTCTAATGCACATCCCTGAGTATTTAACGCCATGAAACTTTCAATGTGATTCTTTTACATTGTGATCATTACCAGCCAGGCCTGGACACTTCAACCGTGGCTATTTCGCTGTTCCTGCAACCAAATAAGTGCACGCATGACCAAAGCGGCTGTCCACATTTACAATAGATTCTCAGATAGACAAAGTGCCGGTCTTAAGTGCACATTAGGCAATTGCTAAAAAGGTATCGGCTCGACTGTACATTTAACGTGAAATGATAAGTCATGCAGGCAGAACATAGCATGTATACAATAACATTCACATGCAGAATTGGCAAAACCAGAACGAAATACAGTACTTGTGTAAGGTAAGTACCAGTGTGGAGAGGCTTACAACTAATGTGCTTTACCAACGGTCTATTAGAAGTGCAATAATGTACTTTCACTTTGAACACAAGTTTATGGCACTTCCTGAATAAATTAGACAGTATTCATTGGGATGAATCAATGTTTTACACTTTGGACTCAGACTGATAATCTGAATCACAATTACAAAACTCATTGATGAGACACACTTTAAAAATAATGCTTTCGCAATGCAACACAGTCAACCATTTTCTTCAGTGTTACAAACAACTTGAATTAAAAAAAAAATACATTCATTATACACAAGGCAAACATTATGTGTCATTATACTACACATACACCAAAACGTAATGCTTTTTATATGAGCCAGTCTCAACAAAGTCACATTTCTTCACATAAGATCATCTTTTGCTTTACTTTAAGGTCAAAAGGCTACAGGTTGTAAACTTTTGTTGAATAACCCAAATACAGAAAAACTTGCCAAGCCAGCATCTTTGCTGTTATAGTTAGTTTGCCCTTGGATTACAATTTCATAGACAAGACTGATTTTTAGTACCTCCATCAGTTACATCTCAAAGTGACGATACATGCTCTCCACATAGCTCAGGACCATTTGCCAGTCAGGACCACCTGGACGCAGCATGTCCTCAACAGTCTGTTAAGCAGATGGTTTAAAAGGTCATTAGTATTTAAGCAGCTGTGTATTTGTCATACAGAAGTGGATTTCTTTTTAATTGACCATATATAGTCATAGTCAGGCTCGGCCTGGCGGTAACCACAAGCCTATTCTGGTTCAGTGTCTTACCAAAGATTGGACAATCCCAACAGTCTCGCCTGTTTTGAATGCTAAACTGAGATTGTCCCTCTGCAAAGAAACAAAATGAGAAACTATGAATCAATGTGGGGTTAAAATAAAGTCACTCCAACATCTCGGATTGGTTAGGACAGTGGTATGAAACTCATTTTTTTCCACGGGACACATTTTAATTACAGTTTCCCTTGGAGGGCCGTGATGACTGAAACCATTTAAAAGAAGTCAAGAATAACGGTTTATTCAACTATTGTTTAAGTCACTGTCATGAGGGATTTGGGAACAAGAAAATGCTTACAAAATTTCTCATTTATTATGTATGAGAAATTTTAATTTTGGTAGAGATTTTAGCAAGGACCATGGAAGTTGCATTTGCTTTCGCGGACCACCTAAAATAATGTGATGGGCCAGATCTTGCCCCCAGGCCTTGACTTTGACACATGTGGGTTAGTGGGATTAAGTGTAGTTTAGCTAATTAAATGATCTGATTCATCCAGATCACTTCCTTCATCTCAAAATAAATAGATGAATCCTGTAGTTGAGAATTAGGTACAGTGTACCCCACCTTTTCATGACTTAATTGCAAGTTTATCAAATTTTGGCATCGTAGTGTGAAAAAAATGTCTTGAATTTACTCAACCTAATTTGGTGTGTACCCCACCTTTTCATGACTTAATTGCAAGTTTACCCAATTTTGGCATCTCTGTGAAAAAAATGTGTGGAATTTACTCAACCTAATTTTGTCAAGTGGCTGCACAGAATATAATCATCTGGATTTAGATACATGTTTAAAAGTAGAAATAAAGTCTACTTAAAAAAAATATGTCTTGATCCACGTGATTTTACTGTGTGCAACCACTTGACAAAATAAAATTGACTAAATTTCAACACACTATTTTTTTTCCGTGCAGTGTTGATGGGACATCTCAACAAAAGAGACTAGCTTTAGCGCTATGCCATCCATGGTCTTCTTATTAGTTCAAATAGGCTTAAGTTTTTTTTTTGTTTTTTTTTTTTCCCGACAAAGGTGGAAGCTCTCCGACGAAGGCGGAAGTGACAGCCGAAACGTCAGCAAGGTGAGAGACTTTTCTCTTCACCAGAAAAAAAGACCCTTGTCTGAAAAAAGAAACCTTAAACCTGGAGAAGTTGATTTTAGCCTAGGAAGCGGAAGAAGTTATGAGAGCCTTGTCGGTGCAGTTACACGCGCACAGCATTATTATTTTTTTGTCAAGCCAATACTGGATACAGCTCGTGTTCCTATTTGAACTCAGTCGCAAGGATACCTACAGTATTGTTGTCGCTCGTGAGTGTTAATGACGAAGATGTTATTCTACCCTTATCATTAGTCATGGTGCGGTCAAACTGTGGCGCATCATCCAGGAAGGTGTTTCTAATATTTTGGTTTCATTGCAATATGATGACTATGCAGCCAGAGACTGAGTTATTGGAGTTGTGTGTCAGGTAGCGAAAACATCAATGTATTGTGAACAACAAGATCCAAAAGGACCAAGCTCACCTTGTTGTCTGGGCTGAGGCTGCTATAAGGAATACGTGAGGGGAGGTAGCTGTGGTAAACGGCACAAAATGCTAGGCCATCCACCCAGCTGCTGCTAAAATTGGTAATGTCAATATTCTGTTGAAAAGGAAAACAAAATGGGAATACCTCAGTTGATGTATGACAACATATTGTAAAATGGCATACGGGAGAAGAAACACATCATGCCCTTGAAATATAGACCATAAACTGACCATTATTCAGACATAGCATTAGATATTTATAAACACTGTGTCAACAAATCTTGTTTTGTTGTTGTTTTTAATCTGTCATAAAAATGCAGGCTTAAACCTCTGCAACAAGAGGCATTACATGTCCAACGCATTCGGCCATTTGGCCAATCTGAAGCCTGAAGAACATCAGCCATGATGAAGGGATAAATGCTAACTTGAGGAAACATTTTTTCTTGTCTCCAGGAAAAATTCACATCGTGAATAGTATGCCTGTATTAAAAGGTAAATTTGTCACAATGTTTGAAAATGGACGCAAGGCATAAGATTTCAATCAATCCATCAATTTCATAAAAGTGCATCTCCTGTTCAGGGATAAATAACTGAACTGAAATCAAGCTGGAAAGGTGGATTACTCCCTTGACTGGTCAGCAGTTCATCATTGGATGATTGTGAATAATTCTTGTCCAGCAACAGAGCAAATGCAAACAAGTCAGCTATGTAAGCCACGACTCTACCAAAGACCAAGTACTGTACAAATTGTTTCCAATATACTGTGCGTTAGAGTGGCTTTAAATGTAAGGTAACAGCCTGTAAGCATTTACGAGCAAACCGTTGTCATGTACTACTAACTACAATATCGACTCCAATTGTCTATGCTATATCAAGAACAAGAATCAAGGTTTACTTTGTAGCCTTGGGTTTGGCTCTGACACCAACGTAATAGAGAATTCCTCTTTGAGCCTCCATGACGACGCAGGAGCAGGTTGAAACCATCCTGGAACCTAAACAAGGCAAGTTTTAGACCTTCTGGTTAGATTTTGTTCCATCAATTACTCGATGTGGAAAAACAAACAAACAAAAATTGATAAAAATGTTTTGGCTTGACTAAATGAATTTTTAATGTGTAACCCATTCACTTGGTTGGTGGCAGGTCAGAGAGAGTTGAGTTGTACTTGTTTAGAGTTTCTTCACGTTTCCCTGCAATGAAAAAGTACTGAATTACATAACAAGCAATGTTCTTTTAAAAAGTATACACAGTGCCAGAATGTGCCCAAAAATGTCGAAGACAGACAACAACATGATCATGTAAAACATATACTTAACACTGAAAAAATACCTTTGAAATACACACACCTGTATCGGTGTTTGACCTGCTCTCTTGTTGGTCCAGGCTTCTTCGTCCTCGAAGTGCTACTAAATTCTTTGAAAAAAATATATGAAATTATTTCCAAGCATATCTCATGATTTAAAAACGATTTGAAGCAAAACTATCTCACTTTGTTTATTGGTTCAAGTGTTGTGGAGGCGGTTGACTGGGAAGTTCCATTCTGTAATGTGATGGAGTCCGAGTGCGCTGGTAATCGGGAGAGGCTTCTGGAGCATTATGGCACATGAAAAGAAATGGTTGATCAGAGGAAAGCTATTCCAGCTGTGAATTTAAGTACCGGTAGATATATTGCTCCATTTTCCAATCGAATAAGTGATTGCGTCTCCATTTTTTTTCTCCAGACCTTCTGATCGACCCCAGACAATGATCGTGTAAAGCTTAATAGAAACCGTTGATCTAACCTTGACCTCTCAGTGGCTGCTGTTCTTCGCGTCTCACCCGATCGCATCTCTTCCCTCCTCCTTTCCTCATTGGTTACATTCCTCAGGTATCGCTTAGTGACAGCCACACAGTCCTCCCTGACAATGCTGTCAGTCGCACTCCCTGCCAGCCGGTACACCCCTCTCTCCTTCCCCCTCTGGCTTCCCTCACTGCTGTCAGAGTTCATCAGAGGTTCGGTCTTCTCTTCTTCGCGGGCATTAGTTTTGTCTGGAGTCTGACTCAGGGTAGCCACCTTCTGCCTGCTCTCCTCCAGCTCCCCTCTCAAAGTGACAAGCTGCATGTCGGTCTCCTTCTGTCTGTGCAGGGCAGCAGCCAGTTCCCTCTCCACATCTTTATGGGCCGTTCGGAGCGCAGTCAGCTCCTCTTCGGCCTCGGCTCTTAGACGGTCAGCCACTGACACGGCAACCTGAAGGTCAGCCTGGAATTGCAGCCATTCCGTCCGCTCACTCTGAAACAACAAGAAGATGCCTTGATGCGTTTCGATGAACTACCATGAATCAGCATGATGCTTTTCATCTTTGCTTGATTGTTACTAACGTGACTTTAGCCTTATTTTACAGGTGTGTGGCATGTGCGAAGGATAAATAAGAAAGAAATGTTGCCAATTTCTCATGAGAAAAACTCCATCCATCCATCCATCCATTTCCCGATCCACTTCATCCTCACAAGGGTCGCGGGGGGTGCTGGAGCCTCGCCCAGCTGTCTTCGGGCAGTAGGTGGGGGACACCCTGAACTGGTTGCCAGCAAATCGCAATCACTCTCACAACTAGGGACAATTTGAAGTGTTCAATCAGCCTGCCATGCATGTTTTTGGAATGTGGGGGGAAACCGGAGTACCCGGAGAAAACCCAAGCAGGCCCCGGGAGAACATGCAAACTCCACACAGGAAGGCCGGAACCGGGATTGAACCCACAACCTCTGCACTGTGAGGTTGACGCGCGAACCACTGGACCACCGGCCCGTGAGATAAACTCTTGAGAGGCTACTATGCTTTTATACTTTTTTTTATCTCGTATGTGGACACCTTAGGCTTGTCTTGGACAAAGCTATTATTTTCTTTACGTATTATATTCCGCAACTCCACAAAGAGGTGGGAATCTATCACTAACTACTTGCATTACTTTTTGGCCTAATATTTGGGTGTGATTAGCTGAGATCAATGTGAATTCAATGATATGGTGTCGCGAGCCCTGACAAGCAAAAAGGGAGGCGTATCTGTCTGACATTTGAGACCAACTATGCAAAAAAATATGTCTGTGAAACCACACAAAAATAACAATCTAACACAGGATTACGAGGAAGGCGAATGACATGAACCATGTGTCATTAATACTTGTAGTCTACTCCATTTCAAAAGGGGGGTTTCCTCTCTTTGAGGTGTTCCATTTAAACTACAAGATTTGATAACAATCGTGCCGAAATAGTTTCCGTGTTACGATTGTGTGATTAAATATTTAGAGCTGTCCTTCAGACACTCTTGATATCATGGGCGCACCGGGCAAGGACAAAAAATAAATAAAATAAAAAAAGGAGCAGTCACTCGTGTCAATTGCAGAGCTGAAACGAGAAATCAAAGAAGAGGGGTACATATTTAATGGCGGCAGCAGACAGACTGCCAGGCAATATAAGGCAGATGGTTCTGAAGTTTGGTGAAGGGGCAGAGGTCAGAAGGTGAGTAATTAGATAAACAACGGATGGAGATGTGGAGGAGGAAGTAATCATGGAGCCAAGTCGACGCTCCCTGGTCTGACCGGTGACTCAAGACCACAGCTGGACCCCATTATACTGTACGCACACATCTCACATTTCTTTTCTCGCCCCCACACACACATTCCTGATTCCTTTGCCTCACCACAAAACTCCATGATCAGTTGATCTGACGTTTCAGTTTTGTGCAATTTGGCACTCGATCCTGTCAAACAGCCCGATTAAGACTCAGTCCTATAATAAGTATTACAAAAACAAATAATAACCCACACACTAGGGTTTGAAGGATCTTGTCTTCACGTTGTCTTGCTTATCTGGTCATGAGCACTCCAATCGGAGCACGTCTGTTTCAGGAAACAGGAAGGGGTGCTCCTCAGTTCACACTGAGATAAGGGTGTGGATCGTCAGGATGAACACACAGAGAGAAACAGTCCCGGAAGAGCTGACCCGTGGCCCACAGCAAGACCAGATGTGGTGTACAGTCACACACACACACACACACACACACACACACACACACACACACACACACACACGCACGCACACACACACACACACATACGCACACTTACTTTGACATCAGAATTTCTGGTGATTCTCAGAAAGAGTTATTGTTCAATCCATCTTTCTCTCGTTGTCGTCTCCACCCAGTTATTCCCTCTCTTTTGACACATACTTGGAGAAACATCTAAACTTTGAAAGTGCTTCTCTCTCCGAGCTTTCTTAAGTCTGCAATAGCCACCCAAAAATGATTGAATACCACCTCAACTAACCACATTCCTTGCACCTGAAAAGAATTCAGGAGATGAAACGAGCTGCATTGAGTGCACATGGACATCAAAGTGAAAGGTGTTCCAAATCAGTGCCATGTTTTCCACACTGCATAATTCAGCACAGTGTTCACATTCAACATCATGACTGCCTCCTCACAGTCTAGACAAAGTCAACATTTTTTTCATTCCAAACAACGTTTGTAACCTCATCACAAACTTCAGCTAAGGGAGAAAAGGAATAAGAGTGAATTGTGGCAAATGTCTATCAGCGGTCACCTGGAACTGATTCCAAAGCTGTGTTTTGAAATATATCCAGAAGGGGAACAAATATGATTACACAAGCAGAAATTGATTTTTTTTTTTTTTTTTTTGGGTTCGGACAATTGAAGACGGATGGTGCGCATGAGCACAGACAGATGGTGTATAAGATGATCTACTTAAGAGATGGGCAACTTAAATGGTGGAGGGGGCGACCATTTTTCACCAGTTCTACTGCGGGACCGCATAGGACCATGCATTTCCTAACCAGATGTATGACAAAAATACAATTTTAAATATGAACAAAGTATGTGCATACTTGCAATATATGTGCTCTTTATATACTGTATTTCATTTTTGATCATTCAATTTTCAATGCACGTATGAAAGATCCACGATCCTACCCCAGCAACAAAGGGTTGGAAGCAAACAACAAAATAACCACTTTTTTTGTTTTTCAGTGCAAACGGCTCCATTGCATAAAAATGACCATTCAGTGATGGCACAAAACTGCTGAACAAGCAACAAACATTATTTGCAAGAACTAATTTTGCACACTTTTTTTTTTTGTTGCAAAAATCAACTCACTCAAAATGTTAGTATTATTGAGGTACTAAATTTGTCCTGCATATCATTCCAAATTCTCCAAAAATATAGACAGTATCAGGCTAATTAACATTGTAGTATAGGTCACTGTATGACCCAGTGTAAGTGCAACTAAAACATGTCTTCCATCTAATCCTGATTGGCGATATTACAACTTAAATCTACAGTCGACTTGTCCAATATATGGGTGTGCTGAGAAAAAAAAAGATAGATTTTAATGACTTATTTGAGATGTTCTCTCATTTCTGCCAATAAAAGTATGATTCACACCATAAGCATGTTCAATATAAAAAGTAGTTTTAACTGAATTTGGTCAAAGAAATGAAACAAAATATCCATCCATCCATTATCCAAGTAACTTTATCCTCACAAGGGTCATGGGGGATGCTGGAGCATATCCCAGCTGTCTTCGGGCAGGGGACAACCTGAAGTGGTTGCCAGCCGATCGCAGGGCACACATAGACAAACAACCATTCATGCTCACAATTACACTTAGGGACAATTTGGAATGTTCCATTAACCTGCCATGCATATTTTTGAAAAGTGGGAG